AGTAAATACTAGGTATTTATCCAAAGGATACAAAATTGATGATTTGAAGAGGCATATGCACCCCAGTGTTTATAGCAGCACTATCAACAATAGCCAAGGACTAGAAAGAACTCAAATGTCTATCGACAAATGAATACATAAAGAAGATGTTGTATGTGTATATACATACATATATACACACATATATATTCCATTATGTGTGTGTGTATATATATGTAATGGAATATTACTTGGCAATCAAAAAGAATGAAATCTTGCCATTTGTAACAATGTGGATGGAACTAGAGTATTATGCTAAGTGAAATAAGTCAGTCAAAGAAAGACAAATGTCATGATTTCATTCTTATGTGGAATTTAAGAAACACAACAGATGAACATAGGGGAAGGGAAGGAAAAATGAGATAAAAACAGAGAGGGAGGGAAACCATAAGAGACTCTTACAGACAAGAAACTGAGGGTTTCTGGAGGGAGGTGGGTGGGAGATGGGCTAAATGGGTGATGGGCATTAAGGAGGGCACTTGTTACAATGAGCACTGGATGTTACACATAAGTAATGAATCACTGGGTTCTACTTCTGAAGCTAAGACTACACTGTATGTTAACCAACTTGAATTTAAATTAATACATTAAAAACAAAAGTGAGTGAGCTTTAGGTATAGTTTTCTCCAGTGAAAAATAAATCAAATATCCCTGTAAGTAAACTAAATAAAATCCAGTTTATCCATGACTGGTAATAGAATCTCCCCGTAGCAATGGGTTCTTGCCCTGCAATGCAAGTCTCAAACCGTTTTCTCTTGATATTAATCTTCCCCTTAGGGATATAGGCCCTATCTAGTTCACTTAGGGAAAATCTGGCCATGGTTTTCAAATGTAGACTCTGTAACTAGAACATCGAACTGAAGCTTTATTTATTTTGGGGAATTACAATGTGAAGGACAAGGAGAATGTCGCAAAACTAGAGAACAAATTATGGGATATAGCTTGCTGCTTTTTAAATTTACATTGCCTATCCCATCCTGGTTTCGGTCATGCTTTTGTGTGGCAAGGTACTGTCTCAATACCCTTATAGAATCCATTCCTAGTCATCAGATTCCAAACCACATTCCTGACAATATTCCTTGGGCACCTAGATCCAGCTATCGCTGAAACACAAACTTTTCAATTATGAGAGCTAATTATTCGCTTGTTTGAATAAGCATATTTATGTTTCTCTCATTTATAGGCAAGTTACTTGGAGCACATATTTCAATCCTTTATCTTCTATAGAGCTGGACACAGGCTATTATGTATTGAATAAGTACCTTAATTATTAATCTTAACACTTTTTGAAAATTAATACACATATCCTTTCTATACCATAATATTTATTGCAGAAATGAGATCTGAAAACTTTTTCTTAGTCTATTGCTCAATTCATTGAAGCACATTTTTAAAATAAGGGACAAAAGTAGGATTAAGCTTTTGCCATTTATTTATTTATTAGACATGAATTCATTACAAAATTGACTCACATATAATTAGAAATATTTTCAATCACAAACAAATCAAAGTCATTTAAAATATTAATTGTTAAATTATATTTTACATTTATAGACTATCCAACATAAGAATTATAACTGGATGTCTGATGATGTTCACGTAACAAAAAAATATAGATAAAAATACAACAAATATGTTAAGAAATATACTTACACTGTGCATGTGTAGGTTGTAAACCAATTTTATTTGGTTTTGTGAAAAATAAAGAAAAAATGATGCATCTAATATTTGCCCACACGAATCTTTTGGTTAACTGAAACACATGTAAAATTGTGTATTCTGACTTTATAGACAAGACGTAAACTTACAAAAAATCATCACCAGATGTCTAAATTCTATACTTTTTCCTTTGAACCTGTGATGTAGGCTGGTTATTGAATTCATCTGTCACATTGAAAAATATTTGTTTTTTTGCAATAGAGAAAATACAGCAACTTTTTTACATTGATTCACAGTTTTTTTGCCATTTTTTCAAGATTATAGTTTATCATCACTGCAGTCTTTTAAATTAATCTCATTCATTATATGTCACCTGCATAACTGAAGCTTTCCAAATGCCCTTATTTTCCAGATATTAGTGAGATTTAGGTAGGATTTATTTTCAGATGATCAGAGAACATAGGAAATGTCATCAAAATTTTAAAATTGATGCTGGATGCTAGCTAGTATTTATGGGAGGTTATGTTGCTGTGCCTACGAAGCACTTGACTCAAGGCCACTTAACATCTGAAAGCCTCATTAATGTATCCTGGATAAGGAAAAGAACGGTTAAACCCTAAATGCTGAAGATTGGTCTGGCCATATACATCATATAAAAGAGGTACAAATCAATAAATAGGATTATGGTTAAAACCTAGGAGAAGAAAATCCATTACTAGAAAATGTTCTACACAATATAAAGATATTTATCACAATCACAAAAGTATTTAATTTTTATTTCTCACTTTACATTAATAAAATTTTAACTGTGGTTTACTGAAGTACTATGGTAAAACTTTAAAAGTTAGAACATATACTCAGGTGAGAGAAATTTCCAGTTTCTCAAACATCAACAAAATATTTTTTTATACATAATGCAATTAAATATCAAATGTCTGTAGGTATGGTCACAAGATGTGGTAACTTTCTTTCATCCATGGAATAAGCCAGAGAAAGTTACCATAATTTATCACAAGAGTGCTGTAATATCTTTAAACCAGGCAAGGACCAAGTTTCATTTTAAACTATCACATTTTATGAGGCTCTGTTGTACCGTTCAAACGCATCCTTTTAAGCCTGGGTGTTTACTCATGGTACGTGACCATGATACGGCACACAAAAGTGCAAAATGAATACTTGTTGACTGATCAATTTTGTTTTACAGCTTGATCACTTAGACTTTTAAAATAGTTATGTTGCTTTCTTGATTCCTAGTGTATCAAACTATAATCAATTTTAATTCTTTAATTTTAATTATTAAATTTGTTATTTTAAAAAGATAAATTTTACCCACCAGGGGCACCGATACTGCAATGTAAGGCACTTCTTTGTTTTTGTTTTGTTTTATTTTGTTTTGTGTTTAGAAAATAGAATGTGTTCTATCTCTTCCTAAGTCATGAAAATACTCTGGAGAATAACATCAGTTAGTATCTTAGATTCTCCTTCATGGATTATAAAGAATACAATGTGGTAACAAAACTTAATAAAATAGATTACTTGCTCACAACCACAAAAACACACCAAAAACCAAACAACAACAAAAGTCATGTCTCAGTTACAAAGAATTCCAAAGGGCACACTCATGTTCTCACGCACTGAGAGGTGGAAAACAGAAAAACAGGAAAGAGGTTCAAGGTGGTGAATTTTATCAGTAACTGTAGTTTTCTCCAAAAAACATAGGTGCGCATCTCTGATTGTAAATTATTCTGGGAAGGATAGAGAGCTTGAGGAGAACTAGCATTAGCACTAAGAATTTATTTTTTTTATTCAGAAAGAGAGAAATCTTTGACATCAAAATTTACATTAAATTTATGCACACTTATTTAAAAAAATAATGTTTCTATTTGTTAGAGCAAGTTACTCTCACAGAGGCTGAATTAACCTGCAAAATGGGCTCATACCAGAAAAGGAATACTGTGATCAGAGCAATGGTTTCTTGTATGAACTACAAGTGATTCACATTTTAAAAAATTATATGTAAGGCTCACCCAATATATGTATAGTGTCTATCAAAATTAAACAGAATAGTGAGTTAGGATGACCATGTTGGTGTAAAACTGATGGACCCAGCCTCGATTTAGAGAATGTTAGTGATTATCTCATCCAGCTTCTGTATTATGCAGCCAGGAAAACTGAATCATCACACTTGGGAAGTAAGTTTCTCAAGGTCACAGCAGAAAAGTGGCTGTAAGTCTCATGAGGGTGGCCACAAGGTCTAACTTGCTCACATTCTATCACCACGCATAGCACAGTGCCTGGTACATGGTAGGTATCCTACAATCATTTTGAATGGACCAATGAGTGAAAAAATGATGAATGAAAATACTTCCAGGAATAGAAGTTTGACAGCATCTAGGCAATTAGGATGGTTGGTTAAAGAGGCAATGCCAGGTGCCTCTAGAAGCTGATGTACCGTGGCACATTTTGAAGTAATTTTAATTCTCTTAAATCTTTTCATTTATCAGTGGTATTTCCTATTCAGTAGAGTTATAGCTCTTTGAAGAGCCTCTTTATCAACTCTAGCACAGGACACTCAACTTACTGAACTGTACTACATATAACACTGCTCACATCTACATTATGTCTTCGGGAATGATGATGGGCGAAGACACTTCTTTCTACCCTACCCCAGCTAACTGAACACTCAGTAACAGGCACTTGGAGCAATGATAGCATTCACTCTAGAGGCAGTTTTCAGAAATAAAGAGGAGCAGGAGAGGGACGAAAGTGAGAGGGTGGAGGCTATGAACATTTAAACTGCTTGATGAAGGGAGAAAAGCTGTTAGACTTGTTATAATTGAAAGAACATATGCAGGCCTCAAAGAAGTATTCAGGCAATTGGAAAATACCTTTTCAAGTACAGGGCAAAGGGAGGAAGTCAACAGCAGGTGTTGCTATGTAAACAAGTCAAATTTAGGTGAAAAAAGAGTAGGCATGTTTCATCATGGATTCTTGGAAGCTGTTCTCTGCAGATTTAAGTGGATAATTGAGATTGACATTTAAAGTGGCAGGAGACAGTCTGGGCAATAGCTTCCGTATTCCAAATAGTCAGGTTCAAGTGCAAGAGAGGTCTTCGTAAACAGAGTTGATGGCAGTCTTTTGTGTTAGAGCAGGGGTCACTAAGACTGCTTAGGGACCCAAGTGAACTTCCAGCCTCCCTCCTCATCTCGACAAACAAAGGCTTGTCCCTGGTGGAAGGAATGAGTTTTCACATTACAGTGAGGGCTCAGGGATGTGGAAAAGGCCATCTCTGTCTTATTGGGAGACACATCAGAAGTATAGTAAGGAGGAGTTTGCAGCCCTCCTGGCACATTTGAAAGTTGAGAAAGTAAGTGAAAATCTTCCCCGTGCCTGGCAGTGCTATGTGAGGGGGTTGTTTGGTCACCTCCATAGTCAATTGGCAGATCCTCCCTGGGGATATTTTCATAATTGACTGCATCATCCGGAAACTGGGGAAATGTGCTGGCAATTCTTCTGGGATGAGAGGAGAGGGCACTGTAGTTAGCTGATAAAGTGTCATCAATGGTATTGAGGTCTTTTAATCCAAGTGTTTGAAGAACCCAGGGATCCACAGGGGGCCCAGGTTGTTCTTCACAGTTAGCAAATTCACCGGAGAGGTTTCTCTTGGCATTTTTGTGATGGGGGATCTCAGGAGGAAAATATCTTTGCTCTTTGGGTTTCCTCTTTCCCTTTCTGAATTTTCCACATGCTTTGGAAAACTCATCTGATGACAGTAATTTCTAGGAAAGTAGCATTTGAAAATATACAGTCAGATAGTCAACCAAGATCATTTTCTTTACTGTTGTCTAATTAAAACTCCTTCAAATATTAACTAGTCACTTTAACTCCTTAGAAAACGTGATTAAAATTCTATTCTCTCTGTCTCTGTCTTTGTCTCTGTCTCTGTCTCTGTCTCTCTCTGTCTCTCTCTCTCTCTCTCTCTCTCTCACACACACACACACACACACACACCAAGTGATTGAATTAACTTCTGTTTCCAACTTAAAATCTATAATGACAAGTTACTACCTGGAAACTACAATTCATGTTTTTTACTAATCATTTAAAAGTTGAAAGAAAAAATAATGTCTTTAAATTTTCAATTCAGGAAAGTAATTATTATAATAATGACAATAATAGCAACTATCATGTATTGAACACTGGCTACATGCATAATGTCATTTTATATGGGTACTGTTAAAATCTTCCTTAGCGAGGAAACTGAGGCACAGACATATTAGTGACTTGCTAAGGATCATGCGGCCTAGATTAAATCGAAGCCATGCGATTCTAGACAGAGCAACTGATTGAAAACAGTAACTAACACTGCTTCTTCTTGTTCCATTAACTTTCATAACACTTTCGTGTGATATGTATTATTCTACATCTTGGACAATTGGGAAACAGAGAGAAAAAAACCTGCCTAATCTATATCATTTACTAATTTAATAAATGTCCTTTGTTTTACAAAATGGTGGCTGGACTAAGGAGCCCAAGCTAATAACTGTGAGATGTGCTCCCTTTTTTAACAAAGCTAACTGGATTGTAAAGGAGTCAGATATGGTATCTTTTCTTCTCTGAACTTTTATGTTCAGTAAAAATGGCAAGAAGCATAATCAATTTAAATTAAATAATATCAAATAACGTAGCTTGTCTAGAAGCAAGGAAAAGATTGATGACAGAAGCAATAATTGTAACAAAATGACAAAAAGAGAACAGAAATATAAAACCCAGAGAAAGGAAGCAGAACAGGAAGAGACTATGGACAAGCTATAAGTCCTTGAGTTAGAAATAGTCTAACTCATTTAAGAGTATAAGAAAAACGATTCATTAAAAGATAACATAATTGGTGATCTATAACTGCCACTCAAGAAATCTGGGCTCCAGCCATATTCATAACAGTTTAGAGCTGAGGAGATTTTCAACGATCTTTTAGGCCATGTATATCCAGATGAACATAACTGAGGCTAAGTGAGAGAGCGATTTACTGAAAGTCAATCTGATGATAAGAAGAACTGAGTGTCTTTCGGATCTGATTCCCACTGCAGTGTTCCATCCATTTAGCTCTCTGTCTTTTGATTAACCTCTGTTGTCTTAGCAATTCCCTTGACTGGCTTGATTCTTAAGCAACTTTTGCTGTAATACATGGCTAACATCTGCAGTCTAGATACTTCTAAGAAATGATACATAAAAATTCTTGTGAAAGTGCTATATTTCCTTTCAGAAAACTCCATCTAACCTAGAAATGCCTTTGAAGCCATGCTGTTCAGTACACCTTCTACAATTAATTAAGCAGTTTTACCCAAATTACCTCCATTCTCAAATCACTGCTGTGTTTTTATAAAAGGGATAGTTACATACCTTGGCCTTTTCCTCAAGACATTTAACCAAAGCAGAATTCAGGTATTGTCTAAGGTGATTATTCTCTTCGTGTAACCTAGCAAGTTCTTCTTCCTTCTGCACCAGAGTATCTTGGAGCTGCAAAAAAGCATACAATGGTGAAGGCTGCTCTACTATATTGACTTTGTAACCTTATAATAATGCCACTGATCCTTAACCTGCTTAAACTTGATCATTATTCTATTTGTTTTACAAACTCAACCTCCGGGAGCCCTTGTCCTCTAACGCCTAAATTCAATCTACACCCACCTACCACCTGATTGTTCAGTTTTGTGCTCTGAACTTCTTATTCATTGCAAAGTGTTTGAAGAGATTATATGACTTTTAAGATTGCAACCACAAGGGAATCGGGAAGGTATGTAGGAAAATGAGCTGCGTGCAACTGTTTAAATATAGAAAAAAGGATTTAGAAAAGTTTCGCTGGACTCCTTCCTTGCACATTAAGAAAAGAAGAAAAACAAGGGGGGCTGGCTTCCTTCATCCTCAGATTGGTCTGTTTGTATATCCACTAGATCAAATTATTCTCTCAGGAACAACAACAAATAAAACGTGATAAATGAGGCAATCTTTGCAAAAACTTTGTAATCATCATCCCTCTCCAAGTGATGAGCTATGTGTGTGCTTTAAAAATACTATCACACTCAATATACCATTTGGTCTTTCAAGCAGCCATCTGAGGAAGGCAATATAAATATTTCAATTCCATAGGTATGGAAAAAGAGGATTCAAGAGGTCATAGGACTAAAATGTATGCAGTCAGGTCCTGACTATAGGGCCCCCTAGAGGGTTTTGATTGTTGTTGTTGAATTTGTTGTTTTTGTTTTCTTCCCTGTGACATTGATCACCTATCTTCCTGTCCACCTCTGTGGACATTTACCCACTGTGGTTCTAAATTGCAAGTCAACATATGAATTTAACAAGGGAAAAGAAGCAAAGTAACATTAAGGGGTGATGTTAAGAACAAACTACATGCTAAGTGAAATGAGTCAGACTGAGAAAGACAAATACCATATTAATTCACTCATATGTGGAATCTAAAAAGCAAAATGAATAAGCAAATAGAAGGCAGAATCCTATAAATACAGAGCATAAACTGTATTCTCTGTCAGAGAGAAGGTGATGGGGGAGGGGCAACATGGGTGAAGAGTAGAGGCAGATAAAGGTTTCTAGTTATGGCATGCATTAGTCATGGGGATAAACGGCACAACATAGGGAATACAGTTAATGATATTGTAGTAGTGTGACAGCAGTATATCTGTATGGTGACAGATGGTAGTCACCCTTGTGGTGAACACAGCATAATGTATAGAGAAGTCAAATCACTATGTTGTACACCTGAAACTAATGTAACATTGAGAGTCAACTATACTCAAATAAGTTTAGGAATAAAATAAAAGTAAAAAAAAAAAAAAAAAAAAAAGAATGGACTGCATTTGCATGGAACATGTCTGCCTGGTTATACATACCTGCTTGTTTCTGTAGAGCTGAGAGGAAAGCTGAGCCTCTTCCCACGAACATGAGTTAGGAACAGGGAAATTGGAGTCACTGGATGATTCTATGTGAAAATACCAAATGGATAACTGAGAAAACACACTTGGGGTTTTTGTGTAATGCAGAGCTCATGGAGGGATTTCAGACAGTTTAATGGATCCAATTACCTTTCTAAAAATAGCTATTGCCTCCTTATAGGAAACAAAACATTTAAAGCTTCCAGAAGGGATAAACATGCTATGAAAGACACATATTTATAGACTATATGCCAAAATGGCTAAAGGGATGAATTTTGAAGAGCTAAGAGGTTACATTTCTTCCTAATATATAAACTCCTGCTGGCTAAGCTTATAAAAACCATCCCATCTGCATTATGAATTCACTCAAATATTTATTGATCCTTCCCCTGCTAGGCATAACATTGCAATTCCACTATGTTTTCCAAGTTTCGATCTTATTTTCTAAGGTTTAGCGTTTGATAACATAGTGTTTGCCTCTAAAATCAACTCCTACTTTTGATGGTGTCATTTTTCCCCAACCATGAAAATCTTGGCCTGTTTGCTTATCCATTAAAGCTGATGGAGAGTACATATTCAGAATTATATGTGGTATCACTTTCTACTTGAAAATAATTTGGATCTTGCTTCTCTGAAGACCTTGATGGAAATCTCAAAACTGTACCCTGAATTCATGTATTTCAAATGTCATCATTCGTATGTTTCTTATGCTTTTGTAAAGTTTTTTTTTCATATTTGATAGCAAACTATACCTACCAGTAAAAACTATGCTTATGCATGCTATAGGTTTACTTTTGTTTTATTTTCCTCATCTAGTACAGTTTTGACTCTTGCTCATCTCTACAGAAACTGAAATATTCCTGAAATATTTTCAACTAAAGTAAAATGATGAGTAAGGAGACAGGAATAAAATTGTATACAGTTTGGTTTTATATTCTTGGGCATTCTGTCTTCTCTGTTGCTTGTGGTAGAAAGACAACACTGAACAACTCCCTTCCTGAAATATAAGTGTGTTTCATTATGTTGGGGGGGTTTTGTTTGTTTTTTTTTCTGAAATTCAAAAAAAAAATAATATGACAGAAGCAGGAGTACATATATTTAATGGTGAAATGTCTACAAGTTTTTCTAGAAACCAGATTGCTAATATAGAAATTCCTTTAATATTTATAAGAACTATTTACTCAGCCCCCAGTGAAAATTAATACATGATTTTCCATCAATGTTATCTTTACCTCCAAAATTGAAGTCTTCTTTGAGCAAAAAGGAATCATTTTTCCCTCCACTTACAAGATACTATTCAACTCTAAGAGAACAGATAGAGAACAAACTGAAGGTTGATGGAGGGAGGTGGGTGGGGGATGGGCTAAATGGGTGATGGGCCTCCTGAATAGGAGGGCACTTGCTGGGAGCACTGGGTGTTATATGTAAGTGATGAATCACTAAATTCTACTCTTGAAAACAATATTACACTATATGTTAATTAAATAGAATTTAAGTAAAAATTTGAAAAAACAAACAAACAAGAAACAAAACCATGACCCAGTTAAAAAGAAAAACAAACCAAAAAATAAATAAATTTGGTCAAGAGCTTTGTAAAAAAAAAAAAAAAGAAAGAAAAATAATAGCTATTCATTTTAGAGAAAGAGGAAAGGGTACCGAGATAAATCATTTTGAAAGATAACTGTTGTTCTGATTTGGCTTTCCTTTCTAAATAAACTTTTTAAAAATAAACATGGTATGGATGCAAAAAAAAAAAAAATACAATGTTCATAGGACTTCCTTATGAAATAAAAGGGTATATTAGTATTTTTTCTCATCTCTCTCTTATACCCAGGGAAACTTTCCTGAATTCCAAAAGAAATGCTCCAACTGGTATCTTGACTACAAAAGCATCTCACTAATATTGTTTATAAATCTTTGACCCAAAACCAAATTCCCTCAGTGGGTTGGAAATCTCCAAAAACTATAAAGTGTGGGGAGAAATATATCTTGTCCAGTGGGCGAGGGGAAGAATCTCATTTTCAATATATGACAGTACAGAAAATCAGGTCATTTAGGGTGTAAAATGCAGGAGTCTTTGTGCTTTCCTCAACTTCCCATACCATTTCTTCTTCTACAGAGTTCTAGCCCATGATGCTTTGCGACTATGGGTGCTGGAAATGGGCTTCAGACCTACCGGGAAAGCAGAAGAGCAGAACTTACCCTGCGCCTGTGGTGCTTGTTGGGGCTCTCTGTTGTCCAGGAGACCAGCAGCCCAGAAAGAGACCCAAGTCTCCGTGGAAACGTCAACACTAGATTCTGACGTTGTAGTGGAATACGGGCAATTATAGCTCTGGCCTCCTACAAAGTACTGGTCTTGGCAAGGCAGAACAGTGTTCTGTGAAATTCAGTATGAGGGATCAGGGTGGGGGTGGGGAGGGTCCCAGGAGATGGAATGATTGGGATTTGGAGGGGGATAAGGGTGGGAGAAAGAGGCACAAATTACATGCAATGAATCAAAAACAGTACAGGTGTTAAGCATAGATCCCAGATTAATTCAAGTGGTCAAAATATAATTACTAACAGGGAATCAGCTCCTTGGGTGTACCCAGTAGTTTCCTTAGGCTCTCTCAGCAAAGAACAGGCTAGTATTGGATGGACCAAATTTGTAAATATCCAAGAGTATTTTCTGTTGCCATGACTCAGTCATCTAACAGGCTATCCAGGATCTAAGTAAAAGGAATTCTACTTAATGATTGAAAGATACACGGACTATTTGGCTCTTTCTAGCAATACCTTAATTATATTTCTAACAACGTTAAAAGACAAAGAGCCCAGAATGCTAAGGCTGAAAAGGACTGAACATGACATATAAGGAAACCTCCTTATCTTTGCTTCTTAGTTTCTGAATTACACACCTGCTCCATCCCTTCCTTCCTTCTTTCCCTGGCTTTAAATGCTGCTGGATCCTATAGTGGTCTAAACTGTTTGAGATGGATGTATAGACATATAGATACATTCCAGAGATAACTACATACATTTTGCTCCTAACTCCAAGCACCGGTACCTATAGTCACTCCAAGTAAACATATCATTAAAGCTGAAATTCGTTAGTCAGCAGAGGCAGCAGGCTCTAGATCTCTCCAGCACTAGGTCTCCGTGCCCTTCCAAAGTTATCTTGCCACTACTAACTGCCTGGCATGTATTCTCCACTGTGTTCTGAGCCAGCGAACACCCTCCTGCCCCCGACTCCTCAAACTTCAAACACACAGTCTTTCCAAATGTCCAAGCAGGGGCAGGTATGCAGCCTTCCTGGGTTAATTTGTACATCAGCTCATTCTTAATTATTTGTCAATGTTTAATCAGGTAAAAGCCATTCATTTCAGCAGAGTCCAGCTTCGGACAGACTCTTTTTGACCACTACAAGTCTTTTGTTGACTTGAGGACTTTTTGGGCATAACATAAACAGCGAGAAAACAAATAAGAAGAAGGAAAAGGAGAGAGAGAGAGAATTAAGCTAATTAAGTCACAATTTGTTAATATCCTCAGTAAGTTAAGTTTTGAAAAAGTCCAATCTATCTTTTGGGCAAATCCAGCTTGGGCAGTGCAGACCAAAGAAATTCAGCCAAAAGTTTATCAAGCACTATTTTCTTTTATTCTAAAAGCATGTTTGTAGGCTCTTTCCCTGAGGTTATTATTGGAATCAGAGCTGAACTATTATGCAATTGACACCTGAGAAGAAAACAAACCTCAAATACCTTGGACTAGCTCAAATCCGAATGTCTGCAAATATGTGCATAATCTAGAGGAAGAAGTAGAATGAAAAGTGAGTGCAGGTGGGGGGGG